GCATCTACCCTGGCTAACGGTGGGGTCTGCCCTATCACCAATGAGACATGTGTGGCACCGAATCCCTGTCGAGATGTGCTCTCTTTGATGTACTCCTGTGGAATGTACGATGCTTCCGGGCAGTTTTCGTTCAATGTGAGCATTCTGTGATACAATTGCATGCTCGGAATTTTCAGGTTGGGCTCCCAGCAAAATCCGGAGTCTCTGGTGCCATGATTGTGGTGGTGCCGAATGTGATGGGTATCTGTCTGTTCTCTCCTCCTCTAGACACCCTTGGCAATAGTTGCAGGGGTGTGGCGTTTTGTAAGGTAAGTATTGATGTAATGAGATTTCTGGCCAGTTGTGATTTTGGTTTTATCGTAACGTTAGGTCAGCCATATGAGCTTTTCAGTGATACAGGACTCTAATTCGTTTTCCGGGTTTTTGAGGCTTATGGGAATACACGGGACCCTAAAAATATATATGCGACTCATGAGTCGTGTCTCAGACGCCCCCTTTGGGTATTTCGAGAAATACCCGGGGCTCAGCACGTTTTTCCGAGCATCATCCCACTTGCTTTTGTGCTCTGAGTAGCATTTTTGTGTCCCAGATATTTCTCGAAATCTGTAATCGGAATTTCTTTGACCAAACCATGAATTCCGTATTATTATTTCATGATTCATCCTGTATGAGTCCCGAGTATTTTCCCTTAAAAAAAATCCGAAATGCCACTTTTCCGAAAAAAAAGAGCCATAAAACTCAGGCACGCGTCCCATTGAGACCATCGGACAGATTGTTTCTGATTTATAATGCAGCTCTCTTAAAGTCTTTTTTTCAGAAACTGGTGTCCACGTTCAACTTCCACAACTACGATTGTCTGGTGCATAATTCAAATATGAAAAGTGATCCGAGAAGGTAAGATAGATTATTCGGCGCAAAATTCAATGAGTTGTTAGAGTTGCAGGCGCATAGAGCCTTTTTTTTCGGGAAGCTGATGTGCAAATCTCTGGCGCCTTGAAGGGGGAGTGAAGTGAAAGAATAGTAATAATGTTTTTATATGAGTCGATTCAAAATGCTGCTCTAAAAAATCCTTTCGGGGAAAATTAGATACAGGCGCTCAAAGTCATGAAAAACCTTCTACCCGTCCTGGGATCGCCTCACGTTCTTACAAGTTTTTCTCTCAGACAGGGAGAGCTCCGCGACAAAATAATGTTGAATTTCAAGACGGGTAGAAGGTTTTTCGTGACTTTGAGCGCCTGTATCTAACTTCAAAGCGATTTTTGGACATGACCCCAAGAAGATTTTTTGTTCGGAGCAACATTTTGAATCGATTCATATAAAAATTTAATTAACAAGTTTTTCACTTCTCTACCCCTTTAACGATAAACGTACCCAAAGTTTAAAATAAACATATGCTCCTTTAAACGGCCCTGACCTACCCCTTACCAATATTCCAGACGAGACATCCGTGAACGCGACCGTCTGATCCCTGTTTTCCACGTGGCACGTGCCGGTGACCTACCCACAATGCGTCGTTTATACATGCAAGGAGAGGATTTAAATACCTCCGATCATGACGATAGGACAGTTCTGCATATCGCTGCAACTGAAGGATATGAGACAATGATCAAGTTCTTGGTGAACGTAGCAAAAGTCGATGTGGATAAGAGGGACCGGTGGGGCAGGAATGCGTTGGATGAGGCGAAGTTCTTCAAGCACGATGCGGCAGCTAGGTTTTTGGAGAAGGCTATGAAGAGGGTAGGTGCTTCTGGAGTAAAAAAAAATTCTGGAAAAAATTTTACATCACTAGAAAGCCCCCAGAATTCCTGACAAAATGGTAAAAAAATCATCAAAAAAGCTCCATTTTCAAGCGAGTTACTCCACTTTGAAATTCCGTGGCCTAACTTTTCGGGGTCGTGGCCTAGAACTCCAAATCTTGATTCCACTTGACACCCATTTCGCAACAGTAAAATTGGTCGAAAAACCAGGCTTCGAGCTTGATTTTGAAGCGAGTTATGCGCCTATAAAATTGGAGGTGAGACGCAGACAGCGAGACATTCGTTTTCTCTGCCGTCTCTCACTCTCTCACCTCCAATTTCAAAAGCGCATAACTCGCTTTAAAATAGAGCTTTTGAGGTGGTTTCTGCACCGTTTTGTCAGGAATTTTAGCTATTTTGAGCTAATTACTGTTTGGGGTTAATTTTTCTACGTAAAAAAAATCAAATTTAAGCAAATTTGACCAGGTGAATGCCACAAAACAAGCTTTTTCGAGCCGTTTTTGCCCAATTTTCGCCATATTAACGGTTGAAATCCGTTTTAGTGATCTAATTTATCTTTCTAGCTGTTTTCCGTAGTTTTAAGCTGTTATTGGGGTCATTTATGCCATTTTTGACCAAATTCAAATTTTCAAAATTGCACAAATTTGTTAAACTCCCAAAAAGCCCTCAAAATTCTCTACAAAATGCTCCAAAAACCATCTAAAAAGCTCAATTTTAACGGGAGTTATGCGCCTTCAAAGTTGGAGGTGAGAGAGTGCGAGACGCCAGAGAAAACGACTGTCTCCTTCTCTGCCGTCTCTCACTCTCTCCCCTAGGGCATAGCTCGCTTCAAAATTGAGCTAGAAACCTGGTTTTTGGACCGTTTTGTCTTCCTGAAAAATCTGCTCAAAATAAATTTTGCAGCCAGAACAACACCGCAAAGACTCGGTGTCCTCCCTGGACACGGACGACGAAATCGATGACGACGGTTTCCCAGAAAAACCCTCTTTCACTATTGATTAATTGTTTTTGCTTGTATCAGATTCTTGCTTTTTGTAACGTTTTTACAATTTTTTTGCCAATTTCGAATAAAAAACAAAAAAGTTCCACTGTTTTATACGTTCTCTGACCTTATTACGCCCTTACACATCACTACTTCCAGCGTCGTACACACAAAAAAAATACACTTTCTGAAAAAAAAACAAGAAGTGACATTTTTTGACCTTGAAAGAAGTTTTTGACAACAATAGAGGTATTCTGTCATTTGAATTTTCTTTTTTATTTTTTGAGATTTTGCCTAACTTGGCTGTTTACATTAATTTTCTAGAAACCAGGTGTATATCAAAAATGAAAAAATGAACTGGCTGAATCAAATTGTAGATCGAAAAATTCCCTATCGATTGGTATAAATATCATATAGGGTTTTTTCAGTCTCCTCAGAAAAATTATGTCGAAAAATCAAAAAATCTGAAATTTAGGCTTAAATTTTTTATTTTCAATTTTTATTCCACTTTTTCTGATACCACCTTATATGATATTCATACCAATCAATAGAGAATTTTTTGATCTACCTTTTGGTATAAATATCATGTCAGTTTGTTTCAGAAGAAGTACGTCAAAATCAGGAAAAACAATGGAATTTCGATTTTAGTATTGGAATTTTAGTTTTTTAAGGTTCTGACTTATGTTTTCTGGTACAACTTCATAAGAAAAATACTAATCGATAGTGAATCTGATTTTCTATCGATTGGTATAAATATCATTCCGAGTTGTATCAGAAAACCCTAGCGAAAAATTGGAAAAAGTGACTTGACCAATATTTTTTTGTGGAATTTTAGTTTTTGAAGTTTGTAACCATCATTTTCTGAAACAAACCTATACGATATTTATACGAATCGATAGAGAATTTTTTGATCTACCTATTTGTATAAATATCATAATAGGTTGTTTCAGAAAAAAATACGTCAAAAACAAAAAAATTCTGGAAAATTCGATTTTACTATTGGATTTCGAGTTTTTTTTAGGTTTCGATCTTTTTTTTCTGAAACAACCTCATAAGATATTTATATCAATCGATAGGAAATCAAATTCCCTATTGGTATAATTATCGTTTAGAGTTGTAGCAGAAAATAGGCCTGAAAAAGCTGAAAATTCTGAAATTTTGGTCAAAAATTTCCAGCTAAAATCGAATGTGAAAACGCGCACCTAAATCCGGAAATCCTATTTTTTTGTCGTGAAAATTGGTTTCTTTTCTCTACCAATCTATACAAACCCAAGATTGAACCCTCAAAAAAAAAAACAAGAAAAAATCAAAAATATTTACCCCCGAAACCTCTTGACTCACCCCCCCCCCCCCCTCCCAGGGTACCTTCCCAGTGAAACACCACCCATCAACCCCTTGTTTTTCCACTTTCCCACTTTCCCCCTGACTTCTACTGGATTCTAAAAGTGTCCTCTCCTACCCCCAGGTCTTTGAAAATACCCCCCTTCATCATCTGTTCACATGATTTCTGTCTCTTCTCTCTCTCTCTCTCTCTCTCTCTTTTCTCGTTTTACTATCTTTCTTTTTGTTTGTCTCTTTCTTCTTTTCGACTTCCCGTACGTTCTTTGATTCTTTAATGTATTTTTGTGTCCTGCCCACCCTATTTTTACTGATTTTTCACAAAAAAATCAGATTTTTTGGTTGAATTTGGTTTGAAATTTCCAAATTTTTAGTTCATTTGATACGTGATTCAATTATAAAAAAAATGGTTAGGAGGGGAACAAAAATAGGAACCGGTAGGGGAGAAAGACCACGGGTTCACGAAGTGAACTGTGGATTCTACAAGGGGGGGGGGGGAGGGCAAAAGGGGCGGAGCTTCGATTTTCATGTTCTTTACATTTTTCATTCGTTTGAACTTGGAGTTTAGATTTCCATTTTTTGTTTGGGGTTACTGTATTTTTTTTGGGCTCACTTGGGGGGTTTTTTGGGGTTTTTGGGGTTTTTTGTGGGTTTACTGTGTTTTTCACCGGGTCACTGTAAGTTTTTTTTCTGAAACTCCTCAAAAATCAGTCCATACCGTCTCAAAGACTCCTAGAATTTTTGGTAGATCAAACGGCAGGTTTTAGGAGTTTTGGAACTTTTCAAACTGATCTTACCCAATTTTTTCTGGAAACCCTATTTTTTCTGTGAATTAGGCTCCCGGAAGTCACTATCTAGGCTCTAACACCTTTCCCTGACATCTAAAAACCAAAAAACCGATCCTAACAAAAAGAAAAAAAAAATGCCCCCATGGGGAATCGAACCCGGGACCTCCTGAACGAAAGTCAAAATGATTACCCACTGAGCCATCCGGCACCACACAAACGTGGAGGTGTGGGCCATCTAAGAACGGCTGCCTCGGCAACCCGGCGCCCCCCCCCCCCCCTTCTTATATGGCCCTTACACCTTGGCTGTCGTGGTGCCCGTTGGCCTACTGGTAACGCTTTTGTCTTCCGTTCTGAAGGTCCCGGGTTCGATTCCTCATGGGTGCAAATCATTTTTTCTTTTTTTTTTCTTTTTCTCCAAATCAAAATTATTGGTCCTTGATCATTTTTTTTCGTATTTTTTCAGTTTGGCATGCCTGAAAACGAGAATTTTCAGCCATTTGTTCTCTGCAAAAAAAAAAGTTTCACTTCCATTCGAAAACAATCCTCCTCCCATTATTTCTTATCATTGACTTGTTTTTCACTTTTTTCATTCTTTTTTCTTTCGGCTCCCCCTCCCCTTTTCTCTGCGTCTCCTCATCTCTCCTCTATTACAAATATTTCTTGTAATCAGCTCTCAGACCAACCAGTCCAAAATGTCACGTACCTCCTGCCCATGCCGTTGCCCACGTCTCCCGTTGCTCCGCGTCCAGGAGTCCTACGAATGGCCCCAGCTGCCCGACGAGATTGTCGAGATGATCGTGTCGAAAGTGAAGCCGACGGAGGTATTTTTTTTTGAGAAAAAAAATTTTTCAAAAAAAATTTTCGAAAAAAAAAATTTTTTTTTTCCTCAATTTTATAATTGATTCTGGTAGATCAAAACATTCTAAGTAACTTTCTCTCTTAAAGCAAACGCCTAAAATTGCTCTGGAGCGAGATACGACCCTTTCAATTTGGTGGCCTAGAATTCCGACGGCCGCGGCCACCGTTTTCCAAACTTTTCTCTTCCAGCTCGTTGCCTATGGCTGGGACCAGGTTAGCCGCTCATTTGCCACGTTTGTCCATCGGAATTTGTGCTCGAAAACCTATTTTTGTGCTCTTCACGATCCACTTTGGGAGTTGTACCTGGGGAGCAGGAAGGGATACGGTAGGCGTGGAAAAAAAATTTTTTTTTCGAAATTTTATTGATTTTTTAGAAATTGCAGAGCTCGAAAGATTCGACAAACTTCTGGTGTTGCTGATCAAAAAGTACATTTGTCAGGTGGAGGATATTGTGCTGCCGGTGGCTCTTTTTTCGCATAGTGAGTTGGGTTTTTTTTTGGTAGATCAAAAATTTTGCTTCGAAAAAAGAACATAATGCAAGCGCGCTCCATGGAGAAGCCGCTGATTTTCGGCGGTAGTTTGAAGTTTTTCAGAAAAAAAAATTGAATGCAAGCGCGCTCCACGGAGAAACCGCTGAGATTCGGCGGTATTTCAAATTTTTGAAAAAAAAAACAGAATGCAAGCGTGCTCCATGGAGAAACCACTGATATTCGGCGGAAATTTGAATTTTTGAAAAATTAACTGAATGCAAGCGTGCTCTATGGAGAAACTGCCGATATTCGACTTGATTTTTTCTTGATAGATCAAAAAAAAATTTTAGAAAAAAAAATGCAAGAATGTTCGACAGAGAAACCACTCGATTTTTCTCTCAACAAATTGAACGAAAAATCGAAAAAAAATCAAAGTTCAAAAAAAACAAAAAAAAAATAAAATGCAAGCGTGCTCTATGGAGAAACCGCTGATATTCGGCGGTAATTTGAAATTTTGAAAAAAAAAACAACAGAATGCAATCGCGCTCCATGGATATTCGGCAGTTGATATTCGGCGGTAGTTTGAAATTTTGGAAAAATAACTGAATGCAAGCGTGCTCCACGGAGAAGCTGCTGGAATTCGGCGGTAGTTTGATTTTTTGGAAAAAAAATAAAATGCAAGCGTGCTCCATGGAGAAAGCACTAATGTTCGGCGGTAGTTCGATTTTTCGGAAAAAGAAACAGGACGCGAGCGTGAACGGAAATTCCGTCGGAGTTTCCGTTTCCCGGGGTTTTTTTTCGAAATCCGAGTTCAATTATTCCAGAATTTCCAGTATTTTTACCTTTTCCGGAACATTTTTCGGAATTTTTCCGGAAATTTTTTTTGGAAAAAAATCGGAACTTCCATTTTCCGGAAAAAAAATTCCGGAAAATATTCCAAATTCAATTATTTCCGGAAAATTTTTCGAAAAATTTTCCCGGAATTTTTTCGGGGAAAAAATCGGAATTCCCGATTCCCGAAAAAAATTTCTCCCTATAAATTTCAAATTTCCAGTCCAACACCTCCTGCAACAAAACACCTACCTAGCAGCGACTTCCGGCACCGCCTGTAATTTCCGTCACCCCCAACCGGGTGTGGCCTTCACCCATCTCTCCAAACTCACCATTCAAATCGGCTCGGAGTGTGGTGGCCTGACCCTTTCCCACAATTTCGAAAATTTGAAAACCTCCTCTTCCCTTTGTAAAACCTTATCGGAAATCAATTTGGACATTGTTTTATCCGATTCCGAAGACGTCACGTGTGCCGGATTCCGGGAATTCCTTCGGTTTTTGAAGGAGATTTCGTGTAATACCACCGCATGGAATATCCGATTGAGTGATAACACTCTGATAGGCCAGGGGTGGTCCGGACCGTCGAATTTGAGTCGGTACCGTAACAAAATGTTCATTTGCTACGTGAGAACCATGCTGGATTTGTCATTAACCATCAACCAACTGGAATTGGTGGATAAGCGGAAGGCGTCTCCGTACATGTTGGTGATGGCGCATGGGAGACGGACGATTTACATGTTTCCCGAGTTTAAGGTGGGTTTGCACAGGTGCGGTGGCCTAGCAATCGGAAAACTAGGCCACCAATCTCAAAACCAATATCGGATTCGAAATCAGCTTGCCGAGAGCTTCAAAATGAGTATAATCATGACTAGGTTTTGAGCGATTTTTGATTTTTGGGTCCCGCTACGAAAACAGCAGAACTACCGTATCTCCTTCAGTTTTACACCAAAAATCGTGAAAATACCTAAATTGTAATCAGCTCACCGAGCCGGTTCGAATGATTATAAACATGATTTTGTTCTAAATACTTTTGGTTTCGGCATACACTTGACACACGGAACAGCGGTGAGCCTTTTGTGGAGCTCTCCTAGTACTCGTCAAGTCAAATTCCTCTTGACTAATGTCTGTTGGGGGATGAGACAATCCGTTACGAGCAGCTTCGTTGAGAATTATTTCGAATCCTCACATTCTCGATTCGGGGCAGATTCACTACAATAGAATTCTAGAGTCATAGCCAGAGAGAGAGAAAATACTTTATGACCGTTCGCTATGTGAACAAAAGTCAATAATGATGATTATCGTATCTGTATCTGGTGTACATTATTCCTCGGATAAACGTGTCGATTTCGTAAACACTGTCGACAGGGTTCAAATTTTAGAGGATGGTGAAACTCGAGTCAATATGCGAAGTACAATCACAATGGATCCAGCACGCATATTTCTTTGGGGTTTTGATTGTTTTCTGTCATTTCAATCGACTTTGCTAAAGATTGAAT